AGACCTCGGGCCTTCCCCTAAAGGGAAGCCGGCAGCTGTCCCCATGGGCCCAGTTATTCATAGCCTGTGCTCTAGAGAAGGGCGGCGGCTGCGCTCCAGGCAAGTGGTCCAACAGGAGGCTCGGCCGCTGAGCTGCTTGCTTTCCCCATCCTCTGAGTTTTCCACATGTGTCTCCATTTCTCCTCCCATTTGATAATGATTAATTTCACTGGACATCACCAACAAAGCACATTTGCAAAATAAAATGAAAATAATCGCATTGAGCAGAAAGAAGGGCCTATCTGCCATGTCAACTCTCCCTTGGCGGGACTGGCCCAGTGCCCATGGGCAATGGAGCTGAAGACTTCAGCTTTCATGACCCCCGCCTCCTGCCTCTACCTCCCCTTTTGTCATAGTCCATGTCTGTCCCAAATCACTGCTCATCTACTTTCTGACCAGCACTGGTGAGCTGAATAGGCTTTGGAGAGTACTAATGAGGCTACGATTGTATATCTCGAGGGACAGACTTGTTAGCTTGAGTTTAATCCAATTCAAGAGGAAAAGTGCCCGCCCTGAGCCGGGCAGAGTAATAAGAAGTAAAGTCAATAAGCCCGGTGTCCTGGCGTCAGCGCCTCGTGACTTCCCGAGGTGACGCTCTCAACACACAGACACGAGGTGCTGCAGGCTGGGGTGCAATGTGGGGAGGGTATGGGGAGGGGCACATCAGGGCTGCAGGCCCGGCCGGTGGTGTGCCGGGTGCGACCCTGGCAGGTAGAACTTGATGCCCACTCTTACAGTCAGAGTAACCAAGCAGCAGAGCGTGGTGCCCACGGTGAGCACAGCGGGCTCTCAGCTCCTTGACCTCATGGCCCTCCACTGTGGGAAGTCCACAAGCCGACCCCCATCCAGCAATCGTGTGTGGGAAGTGCGAAGACACCAATGACTGAAATTCCACCTGGTACAATCTACCAAAGTCCCCAGGGCTCGGGTGAGTCCCACGCAGGCTTGAGCTTCATCTGTGCACGCCCCTCGCCCGGGGAAGCGCCCTCTCACGTGCTGTGTCTGACTCTCCATCAACTGTACTCATGAGTAGTTAGTTCCAGCGGACCTACCACCTCGTAGATAGCGGGTGGCAGTTCAGAGTACTGCCAGAGCCCTGTCCTCAAACTGATTTGAATTCAAATAAGAAAGCTTTGTGTTTTACACTCCATTTACTTTGAATACTTTATAGATAATGCAGGGGTTAATCTTTAGATTGCCCATAGAGAAAAAAGATTTCCAGGAAACAATAGCAGTATAAATAAAATGGGATGAGGAATATTTTACCAACTTAATAAAGTGAGCTCTTTCCAGAGAAAATAGCCCTAAATTACATATAATTACAGTACTAAATGCAAATGAATTTATCCACTCATCTTGGACCACGTCGGTCATTAGTGTGGATTATACGTCAGTCATTAGTTTTTATTATAAAAATGTAGAAAGAACTGAATGGATTTGCATTAAAAACAGTCTCAGAAGCACCATAAGCAAGGAAGAGTGCCCGCCGCAGCGATAAACATGAGCCTCTGCAGGGGCTTCCCGCACGCCAGGCTGCTGCGGGCTGTCCCGCCGGAGGCGCCTTGATGCATTTCCCAGATGGATCCCCCTCCTCTGCGTGCGGACCCGCTTGGGTTCCACTGTCACAAGAAACAGTGGATGCGGTTGGCGAATGAACGTAGCCCTTGCGCGCCTCGTGCCCGCCACACTCTGCCACCCCGAGGACAGCTCCCTGCCAGTCGGATGGATCCACCTCGAGCGAGCGTCTGCCCTGAGCCACAGTGTGCCGCCACCCGGAGGGGCGTTTCCTAGCTCCCTGCCTTCCCAACCATGACTTACAGGGTGGGTCTCTTCCAAGGTGCTCCCTGCTGACCTCTGGAGGGCGCCACTTGCAGAGGGCTCAAGGACGAAGCCGCGGCCGCCGCAGGACGACGGGGCTCCTGCCTTCTGCCCTGTGTTGTCCTCTGCACCAGTGGCACAGAGCTAAGCTGGGAACAGCAGGGGATTGCTGACCCCCCTCCCCACCAGGGGACAGCAGCCTGCTACGCAGTGAAGGTCCCTGGGCCCCGGCGGTGTCTCAGAATAATACACATGCAAGTGTCTGATTAGGGGCACAACAGTGTGCTCCACTGAGCATGTCTTTAATTGAAGACTAACTCACTGCTATGATTTGTCAAATATTTTCTTAAAACTGGATGAATACATCTTTCTTTTCAAAGAAGGTGACACAATTTGTAGTCAATGACATAAATGTTTTGTAATAAAAATCAGAAATTTTGACAATTGTATCTGCCACCACGAGTTTGACAGGTTCCCAATATACTTTGAAGACTTTTCTGATGAGATAATTTGTAATATTTTCAAGTAGGATTTCAGGGAATACAATATTACCGAGGGACTTTATGCCATCAAGCCCCCGAATCCAACAAGAGTGCCGGGTTACGGCTTGTTTCTAGACGTTTCCCCAAGTTCCTGCGTGGCCACACACAGCACTCTTCAGAGGTGGCTCAGGGCAGCATGTGAGAGCCCTGGACTGGCTCGTGGTGCAGCGCTTGGATGAAGGGCCCTGGGTCCCGCGGGGGAGGCTGCCCGCCCGGAGGAGCCTGGAGAAGACAGCGGGGACGGAGAGAGGGCAGCCGCCGTGCCGGCTGGCTCTTGCCATCTTCTGCTTGCATGGACTGCGGCTCCTCCGCGATGCCCTCCCTCCATCCGCCCTGCTAGGAGCGCCAGCCCTGGCCAAAACCTCCTCAGCCACGCCGAGTAGTCCTTCCTCTCACTTGGGTGGCAGGTGTTTTGTCTCAGGATCACATAGAGCAATGTTACTCACATTAACAGAGCTTCCAGTAGGGGAAGCAAAGGCTCCGGAGGCGGAGCGACAAGTGGACAAGACGCACCTCTGGCTGCAGATTGCGCGGCTCTGCTCTCACGACGGCTGGCACAAGGAATCTGAGAGCGACGCAGCGCCTCGTCTTTGAGGACCAGAGTGGCAGCCTAACGGGCTCTCAGGGAGCACTTGGGACATTTTGCTCACAGCACTTGTGGGTCCTCCTCACGGTCACTCGGACCCCTAACACGGCAC